TTCAGCAGGCACTGCAGCTAGAGGGGAGGTGCAAGGCACTGACTTACAGCCTGCTAATAGTGATAAGGAAAAAGTGACAGTGTCTTTGCTTTGGGCATGAACTCAACCAATGGATAGATCTGCAAGTGGAATTGGGCTTATTTCTCTCCTTATTTATACCTGATTTTTTATCTTAGTGGCACTTGTGACTCCAGTGAAATTATTTCTCACTTGTACCCTTAAAAAAATAAGAAACCTTTTCCCAGTGATCTGCAATGTAACCTTGTGGAAGGTGCTACTGTACTTTATATATTGATACACTGAAAATAGTATATTGCACAGAGCCTTTGTGAGCTTTAATTAATTTTAGAATGGTTTTACATTAATGAATGATGGAATACTCTTGAGTTAATTGCCTCTAGATCTCAAGGACGTTAGATTTCAGTGGCTAAATCCAGCAGATACCGTGGATGTGCCAGCCTTTCAAAATTGCCCTTTTAAACACCATTGTTTTCAAGGTGCCTCAGTGTTGACCTTAAATAACTAAATCCTTTGTTTGCAAATTTGTCACATTAAGTATAAAAATAGCTTTTATATAAAACTACGATAGGATTTGGTGGTTAAAATATGTACCTGAAGAAACAGTAAAAAAAAAAAAAGTATGTTTTTTAAGAAGATTTTTGCTTACAAAAATGTGCCCTGGAAAATGTGATTACTAGAAACAAGAATTGGAAAATATTTTCTGGGGCAGGAGAGGAAATGGTTTATGTCCCTGGTAATATTATGAAATGAGAATTGGTTGTTTTTTTATCTAGTGAACAAATAAACTTCTTGGTGAAGTAGTTAGAGAAAAATGTAGTTCATGCTAATTTTGTTCAATTCTGATTGGAATGGGCTCCCCCAACATACTGAAGCTGGAGATGAGGGCTTTGCAGCCTAAGTAAGGGCATTGCCCTCAGGTACCTCATTTAATTATTACTTCACATTGTTTCTCTTGTTTATTCACTTTCTGATTTCAGAATCTCATTGTTTTCACTTTTGGTTTTCATTATGCCACTTGGTTTCCCTTCATTTTTAATCACTGCACTGTAAAACGTTCTCGTTTTCAGAAGAGCCCGAGTTATGTGATGTAGGAGAGTTTCTGTGTGGGGACGGTGCGACCTGCGTCTCCCAGCACTGGCTGTGCGATGGAGAGCCTGACTGTCCTGATGATTCAGATGAGTCTTTAGCCACATGTAAGTAAAGAAGGAGCCAATCTCATTTTACTTTTAAAGTAACGTTTATAGTTTTGCATTGAAAGCACAAATTCCTTTTTTTTTTTTTCAATAAATCCTGAATAAATCTTTGTATCAAGGGTAGCAGGTTACATTGACTGTGCAGGTGGAAGACAAAAGAAATGGCAGAGATGGAAAGTGTTTTGCTCACATGCCACTTTGTAACAAGCACTGTCGCAAGAGCAGATGTTCCCTGTGCTCTCACTGAGCTGTAGATGAGCTGTGGAGGGCAGAGGCAAAGTCAGATACAGGAGAAAAAAATGGTTTCCTCTGAAATGGGGGGAAGTGGGCTGGAAATAAGTGGTGCAAAATGTTTTCAGTGAAAGTATGAAAAGCATTCAAACATCAAAGGAAGGAGTGAAAGAAGAGGGAATAACTATGATGGGAAAAGATGCAAAGAAAGGAAAATGAAGGAAAGCTTTAATAAAACATGTTTAGTTATAATAGAAGATCATGGTGGTTTTTTGGTGTGTTGTTTTTTTTTTTTTTATGTGGCTAGGAGCTTCTGAAGATCAGAGCAGCAACCTTAGAGACTTTTCTTATCAACCTTGTATTCTACTGATGAGGTGCTATTAAATCTTAATGTTCTCTTGTTTCCTGAGTTCTGAGGAAAATGGGGGAATTTCCTGATTTGATCCCCAGGATAATCGCTTCATGTAAGAGAAGAACCATGTATTTTGTATCAAAGCAATACTGAAAATCAGGGGAGCTAAAAACGTGGTTTAGTGCTCACTGGAAAGAAAATAGCAGACATCAGACAGTATTTAGGAGTCTAATCTTGAAAATGAGGGACAGCAAGTTGAGATGTCTGGAAACCATTTCTGTTTGAGCAAATATTGCCCCTTCCTGCTCCACTGTTTGTTCTCTGAAAGAGAAAGGAAAGTTGCCTCTGGGGCTGTGCTGAGGGAGCTCTGGTTAACCATCTTTAAAACACCCAGGGAATCTCAAAAACAGAATACAGTAGTTGGAAGTGTTGGGTACAGTTGAGATTTTATTGCTGCTCTGATGATTGATTGCTGCCTTCTCTAGTGTTTTCAAGAACAGTGTTAGTATCTGCAGTTAAGTTTTTCTAGTAACTCATGCATAAGAGCACAAACCAGACACAACTTTTGATTTGCCTCCTGATACTTAGTACATAGTTGCAAGTCCAGCAGCTGGCCTGGATGTCTGGATCTTTTTCTCTCAAGAACTTTGCATGTTTATTGTACTGGACCATGGGATCTGTGTTCAGTAATGCAATTTAAAATAATAGCAAGTTAAAAACATAACCTTTTAAAGTTTACTGATGACTTGAAAGGGGGACAGGTGGGAGAACAAGCCTCCACTCCTGACATCAGCAAACCTGGTCCTCTTGGTAACACCTTTCCCTTTGCAAATGCTAACAGTTTCTGTTGGATGCATTACTCAGGCTGAGTTAGCCTCGTTGCTTTTCTGGTTGTAGAGCATGACGAGGTTTGAATCTTTATGCACCTGATGAGCTGCTGGTTAATGAGGTCCCTGAGCAACACTTGACTGTATGGGCTGAGAGGATAATCATAGCAGGTCTGGTGCCCTGTCTTGCCCTTTCAGTTCAGCTCGGCCCAGGACGCTGCATGAGAACCAAGCAACGGTAGTTCTGGAATGCTGGGGGAAAGAAAATTTCCCTTTGTATTTGTTTGCAATTATATTTTGGTCTTGGTGGTTCTGTATCTGTTTAGTCAGCATAAACTACTGTCAGCTGTTGTATTTCTTGAAATGCATTTATGTTCTCCAGCTTCATCAGGTAGGTTGTTTCTCATTAGAGATTAATATAATGTTCCTGAATTT